CTTGTTAATATATTGGAGAATTTATGTGAAAGAAGGGCGGTCCACACCCTTTTTGCATCGAGAATCAAATATGGCCCCCTCTTTTCTATCTTTTTTGTACTATCATCTTAACAAAAAAAAAATATTTCTAATGTGTTTTTAATAAAATAAAAATTATTAAGTTACTCCTATTTCTTTTCGATAATCTGATATGGAATACAAGGTAATATATATTCAAAAATTCTCAATCAATTGACAATGATGTTTGAGTCCTTGTTTGCTAGAACTCGAGATGTTTAGGAAGAATAAAAAGTCTATTAACCATTGAGATCGTTTGGTTTGTGTTTTTTATATTAATAACGCATTTAGTAAATGTATTAAAATAAAAACTTAAATCATATTTCAGGTCACTTTATTATTAAGTTAGTTATAAATAGGTCACACTATTTTTAAAAATTTAAAATTTAGTTACTCAATGAAAATATTATTGTAAACAAGTCATTTCGTCGTTAAAATTGAAACAAAATAGTCAAGTGCCTTGGTACGCTAGTAGTTTACAAATAATTTGAGAGAAAAACAAGTGAAGAATTGATGTAATTTTTAAAATATAAAGTGTTAAATTTATTGAATCATGACCAAATTGATATAATGTATAAGTTTTTAGATTGTACCAAATCATTTAGTTGTTTCGTTTAGTTTGTAATAATATTTTATTTGAATGGTCAAATTATAATTTTTGGAAAAGTTATAATTTATTTATAGTTGATATAATAATTGAATGGCCTTGAATTCAGTTCATCCAAACAAAAAAGATAAATTGGGAATTTATTAGTGTTCTTTTAAGAACAATATAGGATTACACAATAGTATTTATTTAAATGTTTTAATCTTTGACAATGTATATAAATTTTGTATTCTAACTGCTCAAACTTAATTTTTTCGATGAAAATAATATTGGGTAAATTATGTGAATAGTCTCTTTTGTTTAGAGTCTGTTCGACTTTATTCATCAATTTTAAAATTAACGCTAAATGGTCCTTAACATTATCAGTATGTCCAATTTAAGCCCCTCTGCCAGTAACCCTTAACAAATATGTGACATAGTTGAGAGGCTAAAGAAACAATACATAAGAAGCAGACGGATACATAGTAAGAGGTCAGCTTTCTATATTAAAGGAAAAGGGAAGAATATGGCATATTAATACAATTTGACCTTCAAGATTATATCTGTATTCAAAAACCATAAAACACGATAATTGATGTATATAATTAATTAAATATTAAATAAAATAATAAGAATGTTATATGTTTAAGAAAAACATCTAATTTTAATTTTATATAAAATAAAATATATATTTTTAATCTCAAATTGCAACCATCTGTAAAAGAAAAAGAAGAAAAAAGAAAGGAATTTGGAATAACTTAGGTTGGCTTCCAAACACCGCCATCCATCATGCCGCTTTCCGTAGTTGTTGATGCACCCAGTTATTTATTTATAGGGAAAATTATATCGTTACTCGTTGAACTATATTTTTTCTCGTATTTTTCTTACTTAACCTTCAATTTGTTCAATGAACTTAAAGATTGAATCATTTTACTTACTCTTCGTTTTTTATCTAACGTCTGGATAACATGGTATTTTTATTTTTTTTAATATAAAATAATTAAAAATATTAAATAAAAATATAAGGTAACTGGATGTCACCGTCGACTGTCGTAGATGGTGGCCGTTTGGTCTCAAATTTCATGGGTCACTTCTCCTCGACACTTTGAGTCCGAATCCGACCTCCATTTTATCGGAACTTGCTCTGAAGACCACGAATTTGAGTTTGAAAGTGAGGAATTCGAAACATTTCACTCCAGATTCACGGGTTCTGAGATATTTTTCGGTAAAACAACCACCAGATTCAGACTCAAGGAGTCGAGACAAATCGACCTGTGAAATTTGATACCAAACGATCATCCTCAATGACGGTGGACGGTGGCCGGAATGAAAAAAGACGTGGTGGCCGATGGAGAGAAAATGAAGAAGAGAAGAAAAAAGGGGTAAATTACGCAATTCATCGCTTAACTTTACTCTATTAACTTTACTCCCTATCTCCTATTTTACTCACGTACTTTAAATATAAGAGTCAAAATGACGTCGTTTTAGAGTATATTTGAATTTTTCAAAACGATGTCGTTTTGATACTTGTGTCATGTCATAACACCGTTAACTATTTAATGGCAAAGTGAGCAAAATGATTCAATCTGTAAAGTTTAGTGAGCAAGTTATGCTCTATATGTAGTAATCTCGGACAAACGAAGAACAAATGTCCCAATCGCTCAGGCTCACGTATCAATTAAATGAGTTTTTTATATTATTATTTTTTAATCAACAACACATATTACTCATATTTACAAGCAAGAAATAACACTCCAATATGTTTATCAAACCATCTTTTTCTCTTCATTCACAAAACCATGATTTCTAACCATTTTCAACATCATTTTTACCTCGCTTAAAATGTCTTATAAATGTTGATATTATAGTCACCTTAAAGATAAATTGCAATATTACTCGTTTATAATTAAAATCATTTTAAAAATTCAGTTTCCCTCCTGGAAAATAGTATTCGAACAAGGCTATGGACACTAAAGGGAGGGTAGGGAATCTATTGTCCTCGCGTTTTGCAAATCTCGCGATATTTTGAAACATAAAGGCTACCTCGCTCTTTGCAATGCGTGAGGTCATTTTATCCAATTATTTTATTGGCTTACCTGAAAAGTGCGCCCACCGTCGAATGTATATTGCATGTTGGAGGGTACGAGGATTTAGCAAGCGATTTGTAGGCCGTGAGGTAGTTTGATATGGACGATTTGGGATTATTCTTTAAAATAATTTTTAGGGGTCCTATTTTTTAAATAATTATTTATTTGGGTTTTTTGATATAAAATTGCCTACTAAAACACTATGATATTGAACAAAAGCTGCTGAATTATGCGAAATCTTGTACAGCCATCCAAGTTGATGATTTGCAGGCCCGACAAGGAGCAACAAATTAAAACCTTTACACGTAAAATGGATTAGCCACGTGGATGACATTGTGATACAAATTAAAGCTGTAATTATTTACACATACGAAACGTGTCTTCCCAGGTAAAAATTGATCACTTTATGGCACTCACCTCTTAGGGGAATGTCCTTATTCCAGTATGCCAAGTGATGCAACTCTCATGCTAGAAAAGGAGTATTTGCATGAAGCAGTAACAGAATGACAGAACAATGCTAGATATCATATGAAGTTTGCGAAGTAAATATCGGAAAAACGACTAAAAACGGGGCAGGAGCATGTAACAAATCCAGGGAAGGGTGAAAAGGACCTGCAGTAACAGACTTGACAACAGTAAAGCACGATTAGAGGAAAAGTAAAAAGAATTCCACGAGTCAAGAAGAGAAGCAAATCCAAGGGACATGATTTTGTTGGCGTATGCAGCGCAGGACATCAAAAGCAATGGAACAAGGAAATAATACGTTAGCATGAATGGAAATGCTTGCTTTCATTATAAATCAAACATATATTAGCGAAAACTGAGATAAAATCCCAACAGTACTTCAACCTTTAACATGTCAAAGGTGTTATCTGAGCACACTAGAGAAGGTTGTGTCAATTCACTCCTGTACCTTTCGTTATGCATAATGAAAAGAATGTCAAAGAAGCTGCGAATAAGATCTGATATAAGCAGGCAGAAACACAATAGATTGCAGTCCACCACACACACTCCAAAAAAAAAAATCCAGAATTCCTTCTGTATCAGTGGAGCAACATGAGTGCAAGGATATCAAGTGAAACTTACCTGTTAGATAAAACTCTGTAGTCAGATATTTCCCACTTGGTAGGGCTCTTAAAACTAACAGTCTCAGGATTAAAAAAACATGCTGGCTGTGAGGTTCGAACTCACGCGCACTTATGTGCAGCAGATCTTAAGTCTGCCCCCTTAACCACTCGGGCAAACCAGCTGGTGTTGATATTGCTAACAAAGTACTTTTAGAGCTTGTATTAGAAATTAAAGGGGGTACGAAACTACAAAACAACAGAGTTACTCGGAACTCTGGTGTGAATGTCAGATAAATGCATGTATGCGACATTATGATTAGATTATTCTAAGTTTTTTCATGTATTTGTGAGATCCTTGGAAGTCATACCTTTATGTTCATGCGTTGGAGACAAGTGTTAGACACTAGTAATTTAAGAAAAATGAAAAGTCCTAACAACATAGCTTATAATGAGTTAAATTGTAGGCAGAAAACTTGTAAATTTTTACCAGATGCCGTGAACATTATTGTTAGAAAGCCTATAAATATGTCCAGGATACGACTTTTTCTGAAAAGTGGAGTTCTAACATGATTATAGGACCTCAAAGTATTATTGGTGGGAAACTGAGAAACTTACCAGCATATGGCTTGATATCAGTACTAGGTTTATGTGTCTAACTGATGCATTTACTTTATGAGATTTTAACTTGAGGGATTCGAAATCATGCCCTTATTATCGGCAGTTATGATTCTTATACAAGAATCTCCCTTGCTCGTTACAGGAGATCCTCAAAAACTAACACTTGAATTTTTTTCTACCATCTTATTTTGCTCGAGCAAGTGATTTACACATGAGAGGTGAGGATGTCGGAACTTAACTCTGCAATCATTATGGACGTGATATTAGTGTTCAATTATCATACTCCATGTTTGTGATGTTAAGTATTTTTAACCGAAAACACCACATACCTATTTTAATTTGGCAAAGAAGATAAAAATAATATCAGTTACCCTTTTTTGCACTTGCACAGCTTCTGTTTACTCTAATGGAGTGAAAGCTAAATATGTTTTTTTAGTGGGAATTTCATTTGAAGGATGCACATAAGACTACATTAGCTCCGGAATATTTTTTTATTTTGTTAACTAATCTGGAATGCCCTCATTGGAAGTGGGTAATATCATCTTCCTAAAAGTTGGAGTTCGTGATGTGTAAAAATGGACTAAATTCATGTTTGTTTGCAGATATGCTCAATACGGTGATGTTTCTCCCAAAGTAGATGTATATGCCTTTGGGGTTGTACTCTATGAGCTTATTTCTGCTAAAGAAGCTATTGTCAAGGCAAATGGCTCTCTTGCTGAATCAAAGGGTCTTGTTGCCCTGGTTACTATTCTTTCAATCCCTCTACTCCAATTCATGAAAACTGATAGCAAATGGGCTGAATGTTTTGAGTAATTCTTTTGGCATATTAAAACCCTTTTGTCCACTTTCCTTGTGCAGTCTGAGGAATCTCTTGATGAGCCTGATCCTAAAGAAGCATTTTACAAGCTTGTTGATGAGAGACTAGGAGATAATTACCCACTAGACGCTGTGTTCAAGGTGAGACCAGTTCGTGGGAAATAATATTCTAGGATTTTCATTTGTGTTTTCAGTTTGAAAAAAGCCAAGGATGATATTATTATTATTGCAGATGGCTCAGCTTGCCAAAGCGTGTACACATGAAAACCCTCAGCTACGACCGAGTATGAGATCCATAGTGGTTGCTTTAATGACACTTTCATCATCAACAGAGGATTGAGATGTTGGTTCTTTCTATGAAAATCAAGCTCTTGTCAACCTTATGGCCGGAAGATAAGGAACAAAGAAGGCGTTGGAAATGGTCTTTTCTTGCACACCATTGGTAGTTTGGTACTTCCCATGTGCCTGTCACACGATATTCTTTGTTTTTTGGGGGTTAGGAAAAAGAAAAACTCATTTAAGACCCCATTGTTTTGCTAGATGTGCTTGAAAATGTCATGTGAGAATAAGATCTACGTACATGTTTGGTAGAGCTGGGGTTTAGTATACAGACAATCTCGATGGTATAGTCAAAAGTGAAAATGTACAATAGGGCTGGATAATTTAATCATTGTTTCTTTGATGTTACTGTAAATAAGTAATGACAATCAATGTATGTTTTAACTTTTTTCTTTGGAAAAAAATAATGAGAGTTATTTTGATTTTAAACAAAAGTTTCTATTTCCTTGTATCTTTTTATCTTTTAAGGTGTATTTGAGCTTTAATTTTGTTCAGAATAGACCTATTGAACAATGGCAGAATAGGTACTGTTAGAGATGATAGAGTTGGTTCAATGGTAAACAACTTAATTCCGTTTAAGCAGGTCTTGAGTTCGAGTCATTGTGAATGTAAAAAAAAATCCTCGTTAGGAGACTTACCTACCAAAACTAGATGTGCAACCCAGATCGGTCAAGACGAAGCCTTGAGAATCGGAAGGAGAAAAAAAATAGTATTCCATGTATTATTTTATCTATGTTTTTTGTTCACTCAATAATTTTTTTGGTAAATTCATAGCTAATGCTATGTTTTATTTCAATTTTGATCATGAAAATTAATAGAGATAGTGATATGTCATGATACAATAACAATTTTAGTCGTGAAACTTGTGCATTCTATCAATTAGGTCTTAATTCAAAACAATTTATCAACTATTTGGATAAAACCCCAATTTCTCATCCTCTTTCCTCAACAATCTCGTCTTTCGTCATTTATTCCTCTCTTGATTGATTTTTTATCTCTTCTAGGACTGTAAATGAGATGAGATAGATTGTGGGTTACTCAGTTCGACTCAATCAATACTTGAATCGAATGAATTCGACTTAAGTTCTTAACGAGTCGAAGCGAACTACATGATACCCGACTCAAAAATTGCAAGAGCAACTATAAAAATAATCTATTAAATTAAAATTTAATAATATTAATATTTATATGTTACTTTTTTTTAAATACAATATAAGATCTTCATATACTAAAGGTCGAAGATTATAGATTTCAGCAACTTATTATACACACACTTAATCCTCATAAGTCTCTTGTACATTTGGCTGTAAAGTAGAATTACTCAATATACCAAAGCCATAAACATAAAAACCAAAGCATTAGAGGTTAGAAAGGCAACCCAACCATGAAGAATGGCATAAACAACAAACTTGGAACTATCGTATAATAAACAATGCTTTCAATCGCGAAGTCCTAATTATCTAATTTGATAAAACCTATATCTTCTCAAACCAAGTTTCCTATAGGCCCCTTTGACTTCACTCTGGCCAAAAACTTCATAAGAAGACTCTTCAAAAGGGTACAAGCATGGTTCTTGTATAAGAATACACCGCTTTTGATACTTTGATTCAAATATATCAAAAGAAAGTATTAATAAGAATACGCAAACACCAGCTTTGTTTCAAAGAAGCTACAAACAGGCAAAAACAGGACAATAATGGCTTTGTTTAAACCATGTTTGGATGCAACCACCATGAAAGTTGTGAGAACATGGCATTTGAGAAGCTTCATATCCAATCTCCAGTTTCTGCAAACATATGGTGCAGTCTTGTTCATCTCCATCTTCGACTTTAACCTTGTTTAGTATCTCCTCAAACTCTAATATTGATTCTTCCAATTCCTAGGAATTGCTTGTATCGTAAATCCAAGAGTCTACAAAGGAATTACATTCCCGAGGATTGTTCGCATAAAAAACTTTCTTTTATCTGAACATTTCTAAAAATTTAATATAATATCATACTCTTTTAAACTATATCATCCATAAAATCAAAGAAACATAATTTTGTGAGGGAAATCCGTGAAAAAGTCTTCTAACTATAAAAGAAATACGTTTTTTTAAAATTGTTCGTACAAAACGATGTGATTTTTCTTATAAAAATAATTATAATTTTTTGGATTAAATAAACAGTTTTATTCTATAAAAATATATTTTGGGCTCTTTAATTTTTGTTGTACCCACTACATTTATCCTTTGTTATCAAATTTTCATTTCCTTATTTGTAAAAGCAACATTGTTTTTTTTAAAAAAAATTGACATCTTAAGTAAATTCGAATGAATAGAATGTTCGTAGTTTAAATATATTTTCGAGACATTTTAATAATTGTGGACATGGGGATGGGTTTTTTTTTCTTATTAGGAATTGGATCAGTCGCTCCCAACAAAATCATATTAAACCAATTACATATATAACAATGAACAAACAGCTGAGCCGTTAATTTAGTGAGATTGATGATGACGAAAGTGATGGGTAGGTTAGGCAATGGGCAATGGGCAATGGGCAATGGGCAATTGGGTTTCACAGCTTTCAAACGCAACACCAACAGCCTTCTTCTATTTGTCTGCACTCTATTCATCTTATCCCTTCTAATTTGGACCACTTCTTCATCAATTAGTTTCAGCCCTAACAGCATTCGGGATGTCTGTAGTTGAAACGGGTTGATCAGCAAGGATATAGATTAAGGCCGCTGATGATGGCAAGTGGACGAAAGATGGGACAAGGGTATTCAAAATCAAAGGACCTACCAATACCGATTATGAAAAGAGGTAAACAAATAGGAAAGGGGGTTTCAAAGAAAGTTAATGGTCCCCTCTCCCACTCTTTTGATCCCTATTTTGTCACCAAAACATAATGCCATGAAATTCAATGAACGGTAGAATTACCAATGTACCCCACCCTCGCTTTCCAAAATTGCCAACAACAAAATCATCATCAAGCTAATGCCATTCATCTTCTCTACTTTCCTTTCCAAAATTTATTATCACCTTCAACAAATGCCACAAAAATTTGATCCCATAATTAATAAATCATAATTTTAAAAATAAATATTTTTTTATTTTTTAATTATATATCATTATCTTAATATATTATATATAAACATATAGATCTTAAATTTTTAGTTAAATTCACCTTAAGTTGTTATTTAAAAAAAACATACATATTCTCTATTAAGTGATAAATAACCCTTAATTTAATGATCTTTTACAATATCTTTTAGCTCAACTAAATGGGTTTCGATCATGGTTTTTATAATCGGACCGGTTAGCGAACCGGCCATGCTACCGGTTTACTGGTTCAACCGGTCGAACCGGTCCGATCGGTCGGAAGAACCGAACGACGTCATAATTATTTAAAACATAATATTTAAGGTAAAACATATTAAATAATAAATATAATTATATAACTATAATTAAAAAATAAATTTGGGGCTAAAAAATCATAACAAAATGATATTGTTTGGTTTAAATTTTTTTTTAAACAATCACACATGACTAAGAAACATAGAAGATCATCCCAACTAACTTCTATAAATAATAGAGGTAATTTGGCATTTAAAATCATAGAGACTTTTGGTGAGCATTGAGTGAACTATTATTTCACTTCAATCAATCTCGAATTTTAGGCTTCAATCGAGCTTCTAATTTTTTTTTGAATTCAAGCCTTTTCGAGTTCAAGTTTCAATATTATATTTCGAGTTCGAGTCGAACTTGATAATTTTTAGCTCGTGAGTTTGAGTATAGTTGAGCTTACTTTTAAAGTTTTCAAGTTCGAGTCGAGCTCGGCAATACTCGAGTTCGACTTGGCTTGTTTAACAAACGATGTCGTTTGGTTTAATTTTTAAAAAAAAAAATAAAATTGACGGTTTTTTCCGGTTTTTAGCCGGTTCGGTTTGAACTGTTCAGCAGTTCCGGTCGGTTCACTAGTATCGGTTCAATCAGTCTAGATTGAACCGGACTAGGCAACGGTTCCCGGTTAAACCGGTCGGTCAAATTTTCAAAACACTGGTTTCGATATTTGTCATCAAACACATTAAACAATTAAACCATCGAAACTTATAATTTTCAATTAATTGATTTTTTGAATGAATGGTAAAACAAACAAATATTAAGCAAAGAATAATTAAATTATGGACTATTTTTTTGGCACGTTTATTATTCGGAAAGCAAGGGTTCATTGTACCATTTTTGTGGAAGACAATTTAATGAATAATAATTGTATAAAATAGAAAATTATTTTGTATATATGGAGAAAGAAAAAACAAAGAGATTAAAATACGTAGCAGCCACGTAAAACGAATTGAGGAGAAGAAAAACAAACTATTATAGTCTAATTTAGCAATTCGGTAACTACCAACTAGCGAAAGCAGGCATTGCTTGGCCTTTTGTTTTTAGTACATATTTTTTTATTTAAAAAGAAAACCATGGTACATGCCCATTTTTATAAACCCCGCAACCATCGTAGTTATTAATTTTTGGGTAGAGCATGCAAATAGTCCCTCGATTAGTGATGTTTTGTTGAGTCCCCTAATTATTAAAAGTTATAAAATGGTCCCCGACAATAGAACATTGTTTTGTTGAGTCACTCAACTATTAAAAGTTACAAAATGCTTCTTATGTTTCAAACTCGTCCTTTTTACGTTAAAATCCAACTGTAGTATGTGTTGGACGTTAACCTGTCGAATGAGATATGATAAAATTTGATTCAAGAATCTCAAAAAACTATCATATAGTTGTCAGTATGTTAACATACAATTTATACGATCATTAGTATTTTAATGGAGAAAGACGAGTTTTTAACATATGAATAGTTGGATGATTATTTTGTACTTTTTAATAGTTGAGGGACTCAACAAAGCAATGTCCTATAGTCAAGGGTCATTTTATAATTTTCAATAAATAGATGACTCAACAAAATATCCTATAATTAAAGACCATTCGTGTACTTTACCTTTAATTTTTTAATATAGGGACAAATATTATGTAAATTTTGATCCGATGTATGTGATAAAATAGTGAAAAATGAACTGTTAAATCTAATGAACAATATTAATAAAAAATTAATTTTAATTTTTACGGTACAAATAAAAATAAACTTAATTGATTGTTTCGAGAAAAGAAATTGAAGGGTAGTTAAACCCTCTGACCTTTAAAAATTAATTGCGTAGGTAATTAAATTGAGAAATTATTAAATGTTTTCGGCTCATCACATCATTTATAGTCTCAATTAATAGTATTTTTTCATATAATTATTTCTTATGGTCAATCTTCACATATTTTTTACGCATAAATAAAAAAATAAATAGTTATTTAAAAATTATTTTAAAATTTATGATTGTCATTCATTGAAACCATGAATAACGTAATTAACTGAACCCATGAAATAATTTATCATTTAAAAGAGTTAAGAAATTTTGAATTATCTAAATCACTAAGAATAGTGTAGTTGTTTGTACCAAAATAAATAAATAATAAAGGGTGTGGTTAGCCAACAACTAAATAAATCTACTGATAAAATATGTCATTTTTCAAAATTTTAATTGATAAATTATTTTAATTATAAAAATACATTTAATATTGTTATATTTAACCACTTTGCTATCCTACATTAAAATCCACTGACCGTTTAAGCCTTGTGTAGTGTCTAAAGAGGCACTTATTTTGCCCATCCAACGTAATGATAACAATTCTAATCGAGTGATCTCACTCGTATAGAAATTATTGATTTTTTTGAGATTTTAAGTTTGAATATAAAAAATATCAAATAATATAAATATTTAATATCATATAATCAAAAATTATCTCTAAATAAATACTATATTATATTTATTATATATTAATACAAAAATAATCAAAAAGTTGATTTCTCTGCACGGATGACCTGGGCGTAATGGGTTGTGCGTTCGTATCTTAAAATTTTAAAATTATTATTTATTTTTTTTATTTTTTATATATATATTTTATTTAAAATATATTTTTTGTTTTCCTTAAAATTTTACGTATTTAAATTTGTTCTCCTAAAATTTTATGTATTTAAATTCGTCACTTAACGTAAAATCATACGTCTATCACTACTTATTTGGTTAGTTCATAAAAGGATACAACTTAATTTAACATGTCATAAGAAAAATCACATCACACATTTAATTCATGCATATAGGGTAAATTATACAGTTGGTCACTTGATTACAAAATAAAGGTAAAAGGGTAATTTTTACCCATGTAGATTTAATTTATCATTTTCTCTTTTATCGCATTTTCACATCAATTTGGTACTCCAAGTTGTTCAATTACATTATTCTATATCATATTCTTAATTTAAACTCCTAAATTATAAATCTTAAACCATAACACCATAACCTATAAACCCTAAATCCTAACTTCAGTTTATAATTTAGGATTTTAAATTAGGGAGTATAAAATGATGCAATTGAGTAACTTCGAGGACTAAATTTATGCAAAAATACAATAGAGATGAAAATGATAAATTGAGTCTACTATAAGGGTAAAAGTGAACCATAAACCTAAAATAAAAATATTTTAATCATTTAAATTCAGAAACTTACAAATTGATAATTAAAGATATATTTTATTTATATTTTGATAATTTGATTATATGTTCAGTTAATGACATGTATCACTTTATGGTAAACCTTTATCTAATCAAATAATATGAAGAAGAGACTTTGGAATTGTGTTAAACGTTTTTGTATGATTTCTGATTTTAGTTAGATTTCAAAAAATAAATTGATTGATTTTTTTTTTATGTAGATTTGCGAATTCAGATGCGGAAATTCAAAAATTAAAAATACCCAACCTGATGTCATTCCTAGCTATGTGGTACCCAAATTTTTTTAACAATACAATTTTGTACCTAACTTTTTTTTGTAACAATTAAGTACCCAATTTTTATTTTTTGGGTACCATCTGGACTTAATTTTTTAGCAATTAGGTACTTATCATTCTTTAGTTTCACATGTTCGATTATGATTGATTCGTAGTTATAGTTTTGACGTCATTTAATTAAAAAGAATGTGTTTCATATTAAAAAAAATAAGCGTGTCTAAGTATAAACACGTGTAGTTTTAAAACTTAAGATACCTAATTACATTAATATAAAAGTTAATTGCCGACTTACACTATTAGAAAATTTTAGATGTCACATAGCACATTAATATTAAAATTAAGTACTTAATTAGACTAAAAATAAAAGTGTGAATACCACATTATAAATAAACCCTAAAATTAAATATTAAAACTTATAATTTTTTTTTCAAAATATTTTGTTTTTATCACTAGCTTCAAACTAAAATATAAATTATTTCAAAAACCAAATGAATGAACAAGCGAGCCTAATGAATAGTCATGAGAAAATTTTTCGGATGCTTATCATATGTATTCCATGCCCCTTATCTATATCTAACTACTAATTATGGTATACAATTGTCGTTATTCACACCTGACATGTGAATTGGTGGATTCCTCATGGTAAGTGTTGAGGTGCATGCAATCATTTTTATGATAAGATACTTTGATCAAATTATTTGATGTAACCATCTATTAGCTTGTGTATTTAGATAGTGTGATGCAATCATATCATATTTCAATTGGATATGTATATGTCTAGGATTTCATATTTTTAATTAATAAGATTATGAACGGTTTAGGACGTCTATAAGATTTATTTACAGATACAATTTTATATTTCAAATTATCTTTGTTTAATGGAACTTAAGTCCAACGCCTATATTTTATTATTCATATAATTATTGAATTAATTATGTAATAATACGTGTTATTAATAAAATTTATAACACGGTGATCGAAATTAAAATAAAATATAAATTTAATGATTATTTTTATAAAATCTTTAATTTAAATGGTCAAAAGAAAGCAACTCATTCTTTTCATAACTTTCATTCGTGTAAATTTAAATATTCGACAAATATTAATATTTAAATTTAAAAAAACTATAAATTATAAATAATTTTTTTCTAAAATTTTTCTCCTTTCTTTCCCATCTAAGTAAGATTAAAATTAGATTTAGAATTTGTCAGAAAAATATAAATTTTATCGTATACTTAAATGTATAACTATCTTAATATATATAAATATACAGAAAATAAATTTAATAAATTTATTTTAATTGTAATGAGCAATGATAAATGATAATGCATGTATTGATATGTCATTCTCTTAGTAATTGGCAATATTCCAGAATAATGAGAAATGCTTCCTCAAATATACTTTTAATTCCACGTTTTTGCCTAACGACGACATTCTGGCGGCTAATTTAATCTTGTACTATTAATAACGGCTAAACTCTCGACGTAACATTCTCGAACAAATTATTTCACGAGATAATGCTCTCTCAAGATTAATTGCTCAAATAAGGTGAAATCTACAGTGTTGGCCGTAGGTCGCCATGCCTTCTGGGCGACCTACTACGTGGCCAGCCATGCACTTCCCCAAGCATAGGTCGTCATGCCCTCCGGGCGACCTTGTAGGTCGCCATGCACTCCGGGCGACCTTGTGGGTCGCCATGCACTCCTGGCGACCTTGTGGGTCGCCATGCACTCCCTCCTGCTCCTCGCGTGATTCCTCGGATGCCCTCGCATAGCTCGCTCAGATAGCCTCGGTCGGATGCCCTCGGTCGGATGGCCTCGGATGCTCAGCGTGTTGGAACGTGCATGACACATGCAATCTCTCTCATAACTCGCCGGGAAGACACGGCGACCTAGTAGGTCGCCCGGATGGCATTGCGACCTACGGCCAACACTGTAGATTTCACCCTATTTGAGCAATTAATCTTGGGAGAGCATTATCTCGTGAAATAATTTGTTCGAGAACGTTATCTCGAGAGTTTAGCCTATTAATTACTATAATTCGAATAAAATAATATATATATATATATATAACAATTGTATTATTAATGATTAAAAAATATTATAAATAAACATTATATTATAATTACTTTAAATTATTTAGAAAATATTTTATTTATTTATCAGGATAATAATTATAATCAATTGTCATAACATTGGAAGTCCAGGGAGGTTGGTTAATGAGTTTTATGAAGATTCTAGAGGGATGGTGGGAAAGAGGTGAGCAGCTTCGTATGAAAGAAACTTTGCTTTGGTCTAAATTACAAGGAAAGAAATAATTCAGAAGAGCCATCAAAATGTGGGGAATGGACCCAAACAGCCTAACGCCCGATAGCTACTTAAGCACCATTTTACCATTAGGTGTTTGTTTACAAGAAAACGACGTATAAAAACTATTTTCTCATTCTTTGTTAGTGATGATCTTTTACCCACCACTTGGCTTTTAAACCTCACTGGAAACTATCTATAAATGACCCCCACTCATTTCCTTCACTCCGCATCATAAAATTCTAAGCTTTTCCATTACACTCATAGCAACAAAGTCCTACTTTGGAGAGATTTTTAGGGTGGGGGGAAAAAGAAGAGACAACGAAGAGAAATGGCAAACTTTCCAGTGATCAACATGGGGAAACTGAATGGTGAGGAGAGAGCAGCGACAATGGAGAAAATCAAAGATGCCTGTGAGAACTGGGGTTTCTTCGAGGTATTTATCAAAACCTACCACCTTGCTACTTATAACTGTATGTATGCTCCTTGTCCAGGATATATATATTTTTGTTCATTTAATTGGTTGCAGGTGCTGAACCATGGGATTCCCCATGAGTTCCTGGACACTGTTGAAAGGTTGACGAAAGAACATTACAAGAAGTGCATGGAACAGAGGTTTAAGGAGCTTGTAGCGAGCAAGGCCCTTGATGGTCTCCAGGCTGAGGTTACTGATATGGATTGGGAAAGCACATTCCACTTGCGCCATCTCCCTCAATCAAACATAGCTGAAGTCCCAGATCTTTCTGATGAATACAGGTATATAAATAAACAAGGACTCAGTTCATTCAATCATATATATATATATATATATATTGATTCAATCGGAGTAAAACTGCAGGAAGGTGATGAAAGAATTTGCACTGAAATTAGAGAAACTAGCAGAAGTGCTCCTTGATTTGTTGTGTGAGAATCTGGGACTACAGAAGGGATACTTGAAAAAAGCTTTCTATGGGGCAAAAGGTCCAACCTTTGGCACCAAAGTTGCTAACTACCCACCATGCCCAACCCCCGACAAAATCAAGGGTCTCCGAGCTCACACAGATGCCGGCGGCATCATCTTGCTCTTACAAGACGCCCAAGTGAGCGGCCTCCAGCTTCTTAAAGACGGAGAATGGGTGGATGTTCCCCCCATGCGCCACTCCATTGTGATCAACCTCGGGGACCAGCTCGAGGTCATCACTAATGGCAAATACAGGAGTGTCGAGCATAGGGTGATTGCCCAAACCGACGGTGCTCGCATGTCCATAGCTTCCTTCTACAACCCTGGCAGCGACGCAGTTATCTACCCGGCGCCGGCTCTGCTGGAGAAAGAAGCCGCCGATGACAAGAAAAAGTTGTACCCAAAATTTGTGTTTGAAGATTACATGAAGCTTTATGCAGCACTGAAATTCCAGGCCAAGGAACCGAGGTTCGAAGCCATGAAAGCCAGAGAAACAACGGCTCCCATCGCAACAGCTTGAGAAAAGTTTATACCTTAGCTGCTTTGGCCTTTGAGTTGATCAAGAAATGGGTACTGTCAGTTATCTATTTTAAGCTTTTTAGTTTTCTGATTTAATGTTATAAACAGTACCGACGATGCCTATGACTCCGTTCTATTTTATTATTCTTATTATTATGGAATAAAAAGTTCCTTTAAATCCTTACCAAAATTATGTTTAATTTTGCTCAATTAATGTATTAAAACTTTTTATTTAAAATTTATTTATAAATATAAAAATCATTATTGTTAGCTTAATACCAAAATAAGTGTCCAAACTATACATAAATTCTCAAATAGGTACTAAACTATTTTTTGATCCATCCAAGTACTAACGTTACAAACGTTACATTTTTAGGTGTTTAGACCGTCAACGGCGTTAATTTTCCCGTTAAGTGACATGTGTCATAATCTAGTGATTTTGAATTTTTTTAAAAAATATTATTATATTTATAAAAAAAAACTTTAATTTATCTTAAATTATAAAAAACCGTAAAATCTCCAAAATCCTATCTTTAACTCGTCGTTGCTTACCACAACCACCATTGTCGACGTAGTCCCTATCATCCTTTTAGTCATACGTCTTTGACTTGCCGCTCAGATAATATGGGGTCACGATTTTCATCATATGGTTCGTGATTCGTCGTCGATCAGTCATGATTTCATGGGAGTTTTGGTCTCCAGGGGAGGTGAGGTCGGGTGGAGCTTCTTCGACGGCAAAGGGCGATGGCTTACGTGGTTTTAAGGGTTGAAATGAAGGTTTTCAAAGTTTTTGAGTTATTTCAAAATGTTTATGTGTTTCTTTAATATATATATATGTTTATGTGGTTTTTTTGGGTTATTTCAAAGTTTTTGGGTTACTTGTCAATTTTATGTTCTATGAATCCCACGTTTTTGCCTAACAACGACATCCTGGCGGCAAACTACAGGCTAATATATTTTTTCTTGGTTGAACATTAAATTATTCGTGCTAAATTTATTCTAGTTAATGTTGGACCAGAAATCACACATTTGTTCAAATAATATGTAATTTTTAAAAAAAATATATCCAAATAAATTTTTGTACATTAAAAATGTATGAAATAATTTTTTTTGACTAAAAAAGTCAAAAATATATGATACTGACAATTACAATATTAATGCGATAATTAGATTTATTGATGTTTAAATTAATTTTTTTATATAATAGTTCACTTTTCCTGTGATATAGAAACAAAAAATATAAAAAAAAGTTTCTAAAAATTATATATATATATATATACACCCAATTGAATTCTTATAAGCAACATCGTAACTTCTGTTGGTGGCATTTACAGTGTTAGGATTTACGCATGCCGTCGATCTGCATGTTTAGCTGGCTTTATTTACTAATTACATTATTTAAAAATGGGTAAAGAACGCAAATGGTCTCCTAACTATATCATAATACTTTATTAAGTCCCTCGACTATTAAAAGTTACAAAATGATAACTCAACTATTCGTTATGTTCCAAACTCGTTCTCTTATGTTAAAAAATTGACGATTGTTTAAGTTGGATGTTAACATGATGACTGAAATATGATAGTCGTTTGAGATTTTGAGATCAAATTTTATCATATTACAGTTAACAAGTTAACGTTCAACTCAGAATATCGTTCATTTTTTTAACGGAAAATGACGAGTTTAGAACATAATGAATAATCATGTGACCACTTTGTAATTTTTAATAGTCGAAAGACTTAATAAAACATTATTCTATAGTCGATATCATTTACGTTCATTACCCTTTAAAAAGAATAGAAGAGAATTTATTGAGAGCCGACGGTCAAGGAGTTGAGGTATGTGAAAGAAGGAAGCAATTTTCTTGTAAGAAATGGGAGATGGGTGGACCAAACTCAGTTTTGGTATATTTTTGTTGCGGTCAAAATTACTAAGAGATCAGAAATGACTCGACACAACCAACTACCACTTGATAGCTACTTCTACAATTCAAAACGAATTATGCTTCATTTACTATTGTTTTCCTTTTCCCTTTTTTGTTAATTTGAAAAAAAAGGGTCCAACCTTTGGAACCAAAGTTGCTAACTACCCACCATGCCCAACCCCCGAAAAAATCAAGGGTCTCCGAGCTCACACAGATGCCGGTGGCATCATCTTGCTCTTACAAGACGCCCAAGTGAGCGGCCTCCAGCTTCTTAAAGACGGAGAATGGGTGGATGTTCCCCCCATGCGCCACTCCATTGTGATGATCAACCTCGGGGACCAGCTCGAGGTCATTACCAATGGCAAGCACAAGAGCGTTGAGCATAGGGTGATTGCCCAAACTGACGGTGCTCGCATGTCCATAGCCTCGTTCTTCAACCCTGGCAGCGATGAGAAGAAAAAGTGGTACCCAAAATTTGTGTTTGAAGATTATATGAAGCTTTACGCAGCACTGAAATTCCAGGCCAAGAAACCGAGGTTCGAGGCCATGAAAGCCAGAGAAACAACAGCTCCCATTGCAACAGCTTAAGAAAATTTCATACCTACCTTTGCTGCTTTGAGTTGATCAAGGTATGGCTACAGTTAATCTATTTTACGCATTTTATTGGTGTGTTAAAAAAAACTCAAGTTTACTATCGGTCAGTGGTTTGATTTACTATTCTAAACAGTAACCAACGTCTACTTCTACGATATAATTTTATTATTATGTATTTTTCAATAAAGATTTGATCTTTGAATTTTCTATTTTTCAACGTCTACTTCAAAACTGGGTTTCTATAGGAAAGGGATGAGTATCATTGAATATTTTTCTCCGAGTATTTGAGTGGTACAGGTACAACTATTAAAAAAGTAGTTATAACTTGGAATTTGATTGATGAAAAAGCTGTTATCCAGTTATTATTTTAGAAGTTTGGGACAGTATGGAGGGCAGGAAATGCAACAATTATGATGTCCAATCTTGATATGTCGGTCTTGGCACACATATATCCAAGTGGTCGCCTTTCGAGTTGACGCTTGAAGAATCTTTGTTATGTAAGCAAACTAACTCTCACCCGCCATTTCTTCGTCTCAAATTTCGTATTTGTTTACTATGAACAGTTAGCTTGATCTTACCTCAATTAATGGAAGAGTTTTCCTTTTTCTTATTATAATTATCGATATTTAATCTATTGATTTATTAAAAATTTTATCTTTTTTTGAATACAGGTAGGCCTGTGACCTAAGTAGGCATAGTTCTAAATAAGCCCCTCATTATAACAATTTTCAGCTTAACCTCTTGTTTTTTTAGTTTAACTTTTTCATATAAATCTGTTTACTTTTATTTTATAGTCTTACTTGTTTATTCATATTTTTCTAGTTTTCATAAGACTAATAAAAAAGTAGTTTTCTCTTGCTATAAGCGGAGTTATAAGCAGTTCATGATTACAAATATGACACTACTAAATGTACCAACAACTCACATGTACATCACCCAACTCACCATTTTCGATGATTGGGAGGAGAACCAAGTGTGGATCCCCACTTGTCTTTTTATCATCTTCTTCAACACTTCTCCCTCCCATGTTTTGTAATCTCAACATGCGGCCCCCACCCAACACTGATTCAAATTTAAATTCAATTTAAAAGTTTAAATTGATTAAAATAACTTTAATAGAATAAATAAATGAAAAATATTTTAATAGAAAACTTTAATAATGAAAAAGATCTTAATAGAAAATCTTATATAGATAAAATTTAATATTATTTCAATATACTTTTAAATATTTAAAATATTCATATAGATAAATCATTATTTTAAACTAACTAATAGATTTTAAATAAAATATTTTATTTCTAAAGTATCCTTCTGTAACGTCCAAATTTATATTAAAATTTCTCAATATGTGCAACATAAATATAAAATTATTCAAACATCGAAGCTTTTAAAATAATTTAACACAGTTGCTGACTTAAAAACATAAATTATAAAATTATATATGTATGTATAATTAAATAAGTAAAAAATATAACAAAAATTTAAAAATAAATAATTATTACTTAATTATAAAAAAAAGAAACAAAAGACATAATGATTACATAATGATAAGAAAACTTTAATAAAATAAAAAAAACATAATGATTGCTTGGTATATTTAGACTCACCTTACAAATATGGTTGTGGCGTGTGATAATTGGCAAGTGATTAATGTGGTTAGCATGAATCATCGTGACCACCTTGGCTTATATCAATGCATAATTTAACTAAATCCTACTCCTTTTCTATATGGGCCATGGACTGACCATGCATGTCGATCACACTTTGTGGACTCCACAACCAATTTTTAAAACCATATCTTTAAATAAAAATATTAACCTTATTGGGGAATGACGATAAAAAGAGTCTATTGAAATTCAACGATCTCCATGGTCAATGTATTAAGCTTTCAACTAACTAATCGAAGAGGAACAGTTGTGATGAGAGAGTGTAAAGGAAGACTGAACAAAGAATCCATGAGAGAGATGTCAAACATCTTTTGTTGTTGTCCACTTTTGAAGATATCTGAATGTGGGTGATAATACATGCAATGACGAAAAGTATTAACACAAAGTAACGTATTGAAATGCGGTTGTTGAGGATCGAACAGAAACCCCACAATGGGATTTTTCTCATCATAATTTGTGAAGTTACCTTTTGCAAAAGCAGTTGCGGTGGATCTTTACATGCACAAGGAACAGATTTTACTGGCATAAAGTTTGCAGAAACCTACAACAGATTCAATGCATCCTCAACTTTCCTTGGAGCCACAGAGGAAGACAACTCAAAGCAACTACATCAACAGACAACGCATGCTTTGTCTCATGCATTTATGTCAATATTTAAGAAAATGGGATTTCTTTTTAATATCGATATTGATCATGATGGAATTTCCAGCTGTTGTCAGTATTCCAGTAATGAGGAGATTATGGATAAATGATCAATACCGTGTGGGATGAGGTTGGTAATAGTAGTTGATCAACATCAGCTTCAGATTCTGGTGAAAAAGATGAAGAGCACTTTAACTTATGGCACGATAGTAATAGTGAGCACTGAGCAGTTGTCTTGGGAGGAAACGGAGAGCATTGATAATATTTGTGAACACCAGTCATTAGGGTTGAAAAATCATCAATCGGGCCAGCTCTAGGCCCAAATCTACTCACCAAAGATTTTTGAGTCCTAAGTAGTTCAAACTGTCCCAAATTCAATTTCTTAAACCGGTTCGTCAGTCCAAACCAAATTCTAAGTCCATCTCAATCCATCTAATTTGGGTCCGAATACAAAATCAAACCTCTAAAACCTAACCCTACTCAACTGTCACTCTTATTCGATCTGTTATTCGACCCAATTAAATCTTATCGTTTGAGAGGTCTTCTTGTTTACACATTTTTATCAATTGTAAATGGGTTTTGGTTCTAGTTTAGCCAAGTGAAAAACTAGGGAGTTGTAAAGGTTACTCTTGATCCTTGAAAAAGAAAGAACAAATTAGTGAATTTGTTGGAAAATCCTAAGTGAGGAGCCTAGGTAGTGGATGTAGACTTCTTTGAGGAAGTTGAACCACTATAAATCATTGCGCAAATTTTCTTATCTTTATATTCCTTACTCCCTAAATTTCAAAAAAACCAATTCACCCCCTCTTAGCATATTTCGGTTAATCGATCGAGCAACCTTTACAACTGCCACGTCAGCACTTCCATTAAATGTTAATGGCAAGTGACCTAATTGAATGCATTTAAATAGTTAGGTGATATGATTGACAAAAATTCAAAAATGACGGTCGAAATGAAAAGAGGCTATAGGTAAGTGGTCAACAGTATAATTTACCCTAAATTTAATTATTAATATTTATGTTGAAGTTTAAACTTGAATTTATACTGAAATTTTTAACATCAACTAAAAAATAGGGAAAAAACTATTATTAATGTGAGCTAGTTGAGTAAATGTTTAAATGGTAAAAATACACTCTAATTTAATTTTTATTTATTTATTCTCATAATACACTTTAAAAAAATCTTATATTTATTCTTTGTGATTGTAATGATAAAAATATTTTATTTTATGTTATCTTATACAGATATATAAATTACAAAAAATAATATCGTTATATTTAATTTTCTTATTTTTATCTGTGACTTTTAATCCTTATTCAATTAAAATTTTAAAAGATTTCATATGAAATATTATAACTAACATAAAATAAAAGAAAATTAACGTAAACAAAATGTATTTTATAAACATATCTGGCATCATTTATCCTGAATATATCTTCTAAAATGATTTAATAATTCAATTTAATTTTTATTTTTAGTATTTATATAATTAAAATTTAAAATAAATTTCAAAACATAAATTAATATTTAAACAAAACCAAAAGAAAGAAAAACAGCAAACCTTTTTTACATTAAAACAAACAAAGGATTAGAACTGTTAATTAATATGAGCAAAGACATGGGAAAGGGGCAGGAGATTTCTATTCATTGATTATAGGCAAATCTTTACTATACTATTAAGAGGTTATATGATAAAACATAAAATATAACTAAAAAGAACCCCAACATCCTTGTAAATGTTAGAAAGTTTGGGATATAATAAGTCATTAATATTAAGCATTGGTATTTTCAGATAATTTAATATGTTTAATTTATGCAATGTATCATTCCTTAGTTTTTGGTTTGGCATGGTGGTTTGTTTAGCTTAGTTTAGATCGTCTCGAATCTCATTTTTAATTATGACCAAGGTTAAAAAATTGAGTTCATGAAGATATGTTCCTACAATATTTCTATAATAATAACTTATAAGCATGGGCGAACAAAAATCGATTCAATTAAAAAAAGTTGTTTTATTTTTAAATTTTGAGTTATACGAGTTAATTTGAGTTTTAATTCATGTTTTGAGTTGGAAGTTTGAATTTGAAAAGTTTAGCCGAGTAATTTGACAGTTTTACGATTTTGTCTCCAATTTACTTATTCTCTCAATTCTTCCTTCATTTTAATTATATATTTTTTATCAAATTTGAACCAGTCTCCTAAATGATTGTAAAATACTCAAGTATCTTCGATTAATCTTTTTGACAATATTTTTTTATAATTTAATTCTTCAACTTTGTTTGATTTCCTCATTTCTTCGATTCCTTCGTTTTAAGTCCATTTTGACAAAATTTTATCCACATGCTTCCTTATCACTATAGAATACATGTAAATTCAATTCTTATTTTTTTACAATAATTTATTATTTTTGTAATTTAGTTCTTTAACTTTCTATTTTATTAAATTGGGTCTTTTGACTGTAAGGTTTTTACGAATTCTTTCTTCTCGACAATTCATTGACTCATTTATACTTCCATCAATACTTTATCCTCAAAATGACTTTTTTTCAAATATTATAAATAAATTTTATAATTTATATTGAATTTAATTTATTTAATAACATTACAATGGGAATTATTTTTGATGAAATATATGTATATCTTATATGGTTAGAGAAAGTCGATAAATTATATTTGATCTACACCATAATATTATAAATAATTACAATTAAATTTTAAAAAAACTTGAACAACCAACGCGATTCGTTTTAAATTTCATAAACTCAATCCGACTTGAAAAATTATAAATAGGGTTTGAATGATAAAATTTGATTATCAACTTAATTAATTCAATTTTTTTACTCGAATCGCCTCAACTCAATCAAATACTCACCCTTACCTACAATATCATTCTTACATAAAAATAATGCAACTGATCTGAAATATAATTTTGCTAAACCCCTTTTTATTTTTCTCTTACAGCTTCCTTGGATCAAGATCAATTCAAACCGACATTGGAAATTTCTAAGTCCCTACGGGTCGATCTTTTCTTCTCTATACCACGTTTATAACTTCTTTATCTAAGAAAAAAAACTTATTTATTTGACAATTACGACGTTTGGCAATCCTGAGCTATATATATATATATATATATATATATAAAAGATAATATTTGTTCAAAGATCTCTAAATTATTTAACATTGAACGCTCGTACCCCTGACATTCTTGGTGCTCAAACTTGAGATATCGAAGAATAACAACAATTCTTTTATTACTGAGGTTGCTTGGTTCGTGCAACTATATTTATATGCTAATCACATTCTTTGCCAATAGAATCATTAGACTAAGTTATATTATTATATATTTGAAAAAAAAAATAGTTTAAACCATGCTTGAAACTAATTACATATTTGGATGATTTTGGGGATGAAAGTGAATGATACAAAGTTTAAGGACTAATTTAGAAAAAGGGTCATATTTTGGGGATGAAATTGGAATTTTCAAAATTTTAAAGACTAATTTAAAATAATAGTTATAGTTTAGGGATAAAATTATAATATTTAAAAGTTTAAGGATCAATATAAGATGAGGATTATAGTTTGAGAATATATGATGCAGTTAACTCTAAGTATTTCAATATTATTGTAATAGGGCTTAATAAGTGTCTAAATTATATCGTCTTTTACAAAATAGTGACTAAACTTTTTTTTGATTCATCCAGATTTTGAGTGTCTAACGTTACAAATATTACCGTATACTTATTTTCTAATTAAGCTTTAATAAAACACGTTTTATGTTTTCATTTAATTCGTTAAAATATAATATTAAACTTTTTTCATTTAAATTTATGATATGAAGATAAAATATTATTTTAATATTGATAAATATTAAATCCCAAAATTAATCCTAAACAATGTCTCTGCATTATTTTAATAAAAATAATTTTAACCTTTAACATGAACAACAAATCTTCGTTTAAAAATTTGTTCTAACATTAAAATTTTCGAAAAAAGCTGCGAGAGTCGGTGCACATCAGCACGCACAATGCTTTAACGTGGGTCCCACTCCTCCGAAAATCGAACGGCTCAGCCAGATAGCACAATGTCTCAGACGGCGACGATTTGTCGGTTTTTCTCCTCTGTTTTTCCATCCGTTTAAAAGGACAATAAGCTGAAATAAATTGATTCAGCGCCACGTTATAAATGAGCAATACGGAAGGACAGTTATATCCCTCTTCAGCTGCTTCGTGAACCTTGCGACAGTAAGGGGCAGTTTCGCCGTTTGAAGAAACATCCGTATGAGAAAACTTTATATCGGGTCCCACTCCCATAGTAGATTCAAATCCACCGGACCAGACCTCATCCACGCCTCCCAAGTTCGCGCGCTTTTGACGGTGACGATTTTTTTCAATTTAAAATATTTTAAAAATATATATTGCAAGAAGAAAAGGAGAAAGAGCTTTTATTGCCGTAACTTTCACTCTTATTTGTCTCTTCCGACTGAAAGTAAAAGAACATAAATACCCTCGTTATTCTGCACATATTTAATTTGGTCATCAACTAATGTTGGCAATACTATAATTTTTCCTTAAACACTGTAATTATTTTGAACAAAAAAAAATTCAGTAATAACTTTCACTTTAAAATTTGGTTAGGTAACATAATAAAATATTGATAAATTAAATTTACTGAATGATCCTGATAATTTAGAGAAATTTGTTCCTTTTTATGACCGAGTTCAAATAATAATATTTAAATAGTTTAAGATGTTAATGTATAATAATAATAATTTAATTAAAAATAATTAAACTTTCATATTAATTATAATTATAGCTTTTATTTTACATATTTACTAAAATTAAAGTTAAATTATATCACTCAATAATTAAAAGTCTACTAAAAGGCCTACTACACTAAAAAAAATCTGTCTTAGTCCCTTTACTATATGCTTAAAAAGTATGCATTTCAATCCAACATGTTAGTTTATTATTAATTAAATCAAAATATTGAGTTTAAATTTCTATTTAGTACGTATGGACTTGTCAATTTATAATTTAAGTTAATTTATTATTTTAAAAAATAATAATTTAATCTATATATATTTCAAGGTGATCAAATAAGGATGAACCGTTATTTTCTTTTAGCATATATTCAACTATGATTGGATAATTTTCAAAAATAAAATATCATTGAAAATATTAAAAAATAAATAAATTTTGAATAATATGAAAAATCATTAACAATTATGAAACAAGGAAATTAATAAAATTTAAAAAAAGAATAATTTTAAAATTCAAAATTCTGAAAATGAAAAATATTGCAAAATTTCCAGAAATTTTAAAAGTAAAACCATGAGAATAAAATATATGAGATTATTTTTTTAATATATATAATATTATATAAACTAACTTTTATAGCCATGCAAAATATTTTTCTAAATAAAAAAAGGTATGAATCAAACGATCTTGATAGTCAAATAATTGTTGTTATTTTTATGATCTCGAGTTCGAGCACCCGGAATGTCAGAGATGTAAGCATTTAATGTTAAATGATTAAGAGTTATATTTGAATAATCTTATACTTATCCAGATTAATAAAAAAAATTATCCTAATACCCATTGTTTTTTCACTTTGGAATACAATATTTAAGTTAAATTAATGATATTTGATAGTTTAAATTAAAATATTAATTTTGTAAGATATACATGGATTAAGATGTCATTTTCAATAATAGATGGATTTTTATATAGTAAACAATAGTTAATTTAGGATATTATTGTATTAGAATATATACTACTTTGTAATCACTTTAGCTTAATAGAAAAATATTATTGTGAAAAATAAAAAAAAAATAAGAAAATAGGAATGTATAAAATTATAGAAGGAAATAGACTAAATTATTTTAAAATAAAATAAAATTTGAAGACGGCTTCATTATTATTTTTTATTTTATCTTTAAAAAGTAATTTAAAATTAGTATTAATTTTAGGTAAAAGTGTAATTTTGCTCCTGTAGTATACTCAATTTATTACTCTCGTTCCTATCATATTTTCACACCAATTTAACTCTAGAAGTTACTCAATTGCATCATTCTATATCCTACCCTTATCTTAAAACTTTAAATTATAAACCCTAAATCATAACCCTATAACCTTTAAATCATAAACCTCAAACCCTAACTTAGAATTTTAAGTTAGAAACAATATATAAAATTATGTAATTAAATAAATTTGAGGGTTAAATTGATACGAAAATATAATAAGAGTAAAAATGATAAATTAGATATATTACAGGACAAATGTGACCCTTAAGCCTTAATTTTATTAAATATATATTTATCGATATTTTTTATAAATAAAAATATTTTTTATTAATCTAAAAAGAAAAGAAAAGAAAAGAAAAAGCCCATGGCGGTCAATAATTGAAAGAGAGTAGTCGAACTTGTGGGCAACGATGCCTTTTGACTAAAAGAAATTTCTATTATTGGTGCACCAAAACAGAACACAGAAGCTTACTGAAAAAAAAATCGAGGAGGAAATAATTTTAATTTAAAAAAATCAAATTGGAATATTTTCTTGGATTTCACTTTTTGTTTCTTTATAATCTCTTTCGTTGTTTCCACAAAAGAAAAAGATCCCGAAATTTTTCTCGTTTCACTCTTTTGATCGTCGTCGTCATTTGTTTTGAAATCGAACTATTTTTTTTAAAACCGGACAAATTTGCTTTGGTTTATGCCCAGAAATTAAACTTTTGTTCCTCATTGTGTGGTTTTTGATTGTTGTGATCAAAAGTAAGATACGGTTTCACAAAATTCTGTGCCGCATCCACGGATGCAAGATAATCGGCAAGTTCAGAACAATGTTGTGTCGAATCAATCCGCTGATAACGTTGAAGGTAGCACCGATTCTTTCTGCGCTTTTTGTTACTTCAAACCATACACAGATCTGATGCCGCTTCATACCTTTCCCCGTTATTTTTATATTTTAGAATTCCTTTGTTGTGATCAATTTCCATTGTGATCAAAGCTTTTAAATTCTCTTGGAAACGGTAAGTTTCTATTCAATAAATAAAATAAGCAACTTCGTATATTTTAATTTGTAAGCTGTTGTTCTTTAATTGGAGCTTCTACAATTGTTTTTATTTTCTTTCTTTTTTGTTGTAAACTGTAGTAGACAATGGTCATAGATTTTGTTTCAAAGTTCGTTACTTCAATTCTTAAATAGGATCAAGTTCTTTACATGCATTGAGATATTCTAATTTTGATTAGTTTCGAGATCTTTTTTTCTCTCTATGTTTTCAGAAGTTATTTTGCGGTTGAAATTTAATGATAATAATCAAGAGGTGGGTGTTTCAGACTCAGGCTCGTATCCTGATCGTCCTGGTGAACCGGATTGTTCTTATTATTTAAGGACTGGATCATGTGGTTATGGAAGTAATTGTCGTTTCAATCATCCGGCTTATGATACTCAGGTAATGAAGTCTTTGTTCATCTTTTTGAATTGAATTGCATTTACTGACAGATTATTTCAATATCAAAAGCCCTTGGATTCAGATTCTTATATACATAGATATTGCTCTACTGATGTATTGGTTGAATATGTTATTTTTTGGTGCAGGGTGGCCAATATCAGGAAGAACTCCCTTTAAGAGCTGGACAGCCAGACTGTGGGGTATTATTACTTTCTCACTTAAGATCAGTGATCTAAATTGCCTTTTCTGGTAGATGTTTGTGTTGCTATTTTTTGCTGGGGTATGTATCTCTCTCTCTCTCTAAGAAAAGGGAAGACACCTAATGTGGTTGTTTATGCAAATAGATGTTATTTAATTAGGAACATTTTTTTGGGAAATGAATATTGCATGGATAATCGTTCACTTGAACTGTGGAATACATAGCATGCATGTTATTGTGTACATGTGCAAGACTGTTAACATGATATGTGGCCATGGAGTTTTCTGATTGTGCTAGTCATCATTTTGCTGTTGTTTCTATTTTGGGTGGTGTAGTGTTAATGCAGATGTTTTACCAGTGGACAACAGGGACTATGATCTTCTTAATCTAACTAGTGTGCTAATGTTTCCTTTTAACCTGGTGAAGTGATGCAGAACTCTTTTTTCTTTCTTCTAAAGAAAACTGATGTTGTAGCTCAGGGTCATCGTTGATATGTTTGATATAGTGTTAAACTGTTTAGACATTATGTCTAAGCTCTCTCTCTCTCTGTCTTTTGTTTTTTGTTTTATATATTTTTTGTGATCAAGACTATCAAAGCATTTGTTTTAGAAAGCTTTTAATTTAGAAGTTTTCATTAACCTCCTCTGCAGTACTTTTTAAAGACAGGAGCTTGCAAATATGGATCCACATGTAAATATCATCATCCGAAGGACAGAAATGGAGCTGGACCTGTTACATTTAACATTCTTGGTCTTCCTATGCGTCAGGTTCTTTCTTTCTCTCTCCTTTGATGTGCTCACCTGACTTTATGTAGTCTCATGCTAGCTTTATATTTTTCAGGATGAAAAATCATGTCCTTATTTCATGAGGACCAGATCATGTAAATTTGGAGTTGCATGCAAGTTCCATCATCCCCAGCCTACTTCACCTGGGGCTGGCTTACCTGTAAATGGACCTGCGGGATCATCAGTTTTGCCACCGACAGGTGTGCCGTATGCTGGTGGATTACCCACATGGTCATTACCTAGGGCACCTTTTGTTTCTGGCCCACATTTACAAACCCAAAGATACATGCCTGTTGTTGTTTCTCCTCAAAACATAATTCATGCTAATGGCTGGAGCACCTACATGGTAAGTGAATGTTTCTTTTGTTGAGTAATGTTTATCAGAACTTCAGGCTTCAAAATAATGCAGTCAATAAAATCAATTTCTGCAAGGTGCCGTTATTCTAGGTTTTCCTTTTTCCATTATTTGACGGTGTAAAATGAAAAGTATATTGGACGGACTTCTGAAATTGTGAAATTTAAATGTTTCACTTGTCCTAAAGCAAGCTCCATAAAGTTCTCTGCAAGTGTAAACATTGTATTGATCTCCTTGACTTTCAATTCGATTTAACTTTAGATTGCTAAATTAAATGTTGTGTTTCCAAACACTGGATATGAGAATAATGCAAACCTTGGCATTTTTTAAAATGAAGTTGTACTGTCTTGATTATTAAGACCTGAAGATCGGTCCTATTGATTTTTCTGCTTTTGCTATGTTTTTTTGAAAGACTCGTTATATGTGTTTCTTCTTATCAGCTGACATCATTTAATAGTGTTCTGTTTTTAGTGTTCATGATGTTGCTACATCCCATATCCATAACATTTAAAAATGTCTTGTCAGTTGGCTACGAATGGTGCTAGTTAATGACTTGTTCAAACCGGAAGTGAATGTCATTAAGATGTTATGATAAAAATTACCTGGTCTCGATTCCATTCTTTTATATGAATTCACTTACTATTAGAAAATTTTCTTTTCATAATTGTAAGTGTTAGACACCTTAGATGTCTTCATCTTTGTTTACTTGTTGCTTGAGCTGCTTATTGGAGAAGTTCAGAGGGCATGTTTTCTTTATATATGAAATGTATACTTAAAATGATCAACTTTGTTTCAAGTATCTATTATCCAAAACAAACTTAATTGTGTCTTAAATGTGTTACTATATGTTTATTTTCAGAAAAATAAAAGAGTGCGTTGCTATGTATTCTGCAAATTTGTGTTTCCATATTTTATGCACATGTCTATCACCACAAAGTCACATAGATGCGACTCATGGTAGCTTTGCATATTTCATGTACATATCTGACAGTTCCCTGCATCTGCAATGCTTCACACTGCATATTTTTTTATTATTTATTTATCTCTTTTATATGAAAAGAAAAATTGTTCATGGGTAGTTCTTGCCGATTGGAATTTCTTTCCTTATTTTGCCACATTTTATTTTTCTTCGTTACTAATTTAACTCCGATCAGGGAAATATGAGTCCCGTATCTTCTGCTGGTGTTCTTGGATCCAATTATGCTTACAACTCGACGAATCCCGCAGAGTCTGGTTCTAGTGGACAGATGCTCTTGTCATTCACATCTGCTTCTAACTATCCTGAAAGACCTGATCAACCAGAGTGTAGGTATTATATGAACAACGGCACTTGCAAATACGGATCTGATTGCAAGTACCATCATCCAAAGGAAAGGGTTGCAGATTCAGCCATTAATAGTATTGGCTCTCTTGGGCTTCCTTCGAGACCTGTAAGTTTCGTGTCCATTCGGGTTAAACAGGAATTCATGTGCCCATTTCCATTTTATTCACTGTTCACTCTTGCCAAATATTATTTGATTTGTAGTTCTTTTGTATGTAGGGGCAAGCTGTATGTTATAGCTACAGTATGTACGGACTGTGCAAGTACGGGCCAACTTGCAGATTCGATCACCCTTTTGTAGGATATCCTTATAATTATGCTCCAACCCTTCCTTTACCTGTGTTCGATACGTCTCTCCTAGCATATCAAAGAATGTCTCCAGCAGTCCATTTGTCCGAAGCTCCTCCGCCATCAAGACTTCCCGATTGGGCACGAAACACCAACACCGTAAGCAAGAAACGTCAGAACTTGGAAACTAAGAATTCAGATGATCCATCCGAACAGGTTGCTTCTCCACCAAATTCATTGCAGACTTCTTCGAAAACCTCACAAGATTAAAACTGAGTCGATCCATGTCTTGATCATCTTTTTTAACTTGTTTTGTTTTGTTAATTCGGAACCTTGCAAGAAGACTTCCATGATACTGTACCTCCTTCACCCCCTTTCACCTGTGATCCGACAGTGTTGTAGGTTTTCATTTCCTTGAATATTTGAAATGTGCAAAATTCTGGGGGACAGAAGGCATTTTTTGTTTTTGTGGTGAATAAAACGCAGGTGAAAAGTTGTAAGATCCTTTTATCTCTTGGAGTTTATAATCGTCTCATGTTTGATGCTTTATGTTAGTAGACTATCCATATTGTCTACAAGTAATTAGTGTTCTAATGATTTTTTTAAATTATTTATATTAGATCATGCCATACCACCCGTATATAAATATTTATAAAATATTTATGTAATGGGAATATATATTTTCTAAAATAAATAGATATTTAGAATGAAAATATATATTTTTAACTTAAGTGATAATAACTTTAATTGTAAAATATGCCCATGACCACTTAACTAATAGGGGATTATATTTTGATCACTGCTTTTTCTATTTTGCCACTAAGATCATTTAACTATTCAAACGTTATCAATTAAGTAACATGCCATTATTATTTGATAGAATAACTAACACGATAGTTAAAAATATTGATATATTTATACATTTGGTCTTCATTATTTACACATCTAATCAACTATCATCGATTTTAAAAAAATTATGTTTCAATCACTTATGTTATAAATTCATTATATTATTAATTATATGGTCTTCATTATTTACACTAACAATAGAAACAGAACTTGGCTGAGTTTTGGCTTCAAGAAGGAGCTTTACTGGTAACAGAGATTAACGGTTCAATAATCAATATATAATGAACCGATAACGTAAGTTACTGAAACATAATTCTTTTAAAATCAATGATCAAAATTAAACAAACCAAAAATAAAAGACACCATCAATATTGTTTAGCCTTTAATTTAGTTTTATTTTTATGACTTTTATTAATTATATATAAGATTTTATATAAACCATTTTAAAAAGTAATATCCTTATGCAACCGTAAAACCATCAAATCATGTTGTAAAAATTACTCCAGATTAAACCCTAGCTCACAGTTCATCGATGCAGGCAACACAATGGTTCCTTCTTCCAATTCTTCGACTCCTTTAACCATTTCCTTATCTGGGTCTTCCTTCTTTTCTTCTACACCATACCCATCTTCTCGATTTTTCAATAGATCCGATTTTTGTTGGTTTCGCAGTTTCTCTGCTTCTTCTTCTTCTTCTTCTTCTTCTTCTTCTCCTTCTTCTTCTTCTTCTTCTTCTTCTTCTTCTTCTTCACGGGTAAATGTGAGTCGAAAGCATATTTCAGAGATTACCAATTTGATAAGAAGGGGCGATAACGATTTAGAATCCAAGATGGATGCCATGAATGTACGTCTTTCCGAGGTATCATTGAACATCATTTTTGGAACTTTAAATTACCAGAAAGTTTCTGCATTGCGTTTCTTTGATTGGATTCGACACTCCCATCCCGCGTTTTATCAGAACTCTGACATGATTTTCAAACCAAAACAAAATCAGTAGTGTACATGATTTTCAAACCATGGCTAAAAACACAATCTTTTTTGGCGAAATTATGGAACTTAATGTGGTCAAGATGTGCATGAGTGATGAAAACGAAATTCTGGTGAACAGCACGAGAGGGGCACCTCCCAATGTCAAAAGCAGACTTCAATTCAATAACATTTCAGGTCAATCCTAAATATGCTTTTGCATCCGCCGATGATGGTAGGTGATCACTGCTGTGGATTTCCATACACTTACTCTCTGTTTTTTTTTTTTGTATTTTATTTTTGGGTCAATCTTACACCTGGAATTTATGTTTTAAAAATTGTTATGGACTTGGCCATGTTTATAACACCCTTCATACACGGGTTTTTTAGGTCCTATACGACAGGCATAAAATATAATTGAAAAAATAAGATTGTCAGATTTTTAATTTAAGATCTATCATATTTACTAAAGTATTTAAGGAATTCGTTACAACGAGATGACGAGTTTGTTTAAATAATATTTTTTATTTAAACTCGTTACTTCGAGGTGAAGAGTTTTAATAAAATATAAAATTTTTATTAATTTTTATCACATCGAGTAAAAGTTTAAAAAAAAATATTTTTTATTAAAACTCATCACTTCGATATAATAAATTTTCATGCAATATAATAAATATCGTAGATCCCAAATTAAAAATTTTACAATCTTATTTGTCTAATTATATTTTTGGGCTGACGTATTGGGAAAAAACCCTTCATACACGTCTTACAAAAGCTTTGCTCAATGCACTTCTAGGCCCAAAACGGGCATTGACTCAATACTAGGGTTGGCAGCCCTAGGACCGAATGTGAATGTGATATGTCCTCATATTTAATTTACTCTTAGTACGGACGCACAACTTAATAGGTGTCAAATGAATCCTATTATTTTAGAAAAATAATTTAATTTAATTTAATATATAAAAAATATAAAAAATTTGTATACCAATTTTTTTCTTTCTAAAAAGTAATTAAATTTTAAACTTTATTATTAAATTTCTGAATCTATCACGACTCTTAATGTATAGCTATATCTCTCTCTACAAAAGTAAACGGTGCTACTGACCAAAAAACCAAAGATGCCTAACACGTCATCTTATAAGAAAACATGCTGGCTTATTTATATAGCTTGGTCTTGATTACATTGTTTTTTAAAATCTTTGTGTTTCTGTATAGGCTATAAGAGTATGAGCCCTGTAAGTTACAGTGGCCTTACATTATATCATGATGCATACTTATGTCTTTGTAGATGTGTATTTTCAAACTACGTGACACCAAATCTCATTTTTAGTGCCTTTATGTGTGTCTTGGATATGTATTGAGTAGATGACATTGTTTTCTTTCTTTTACTATATCTATAGGTATATTTATGTTATGAATACATATAAAATAATAAGATTATTCGTTTGACACTCAACTCATTAGTTCAACGTTCAGGATGTGTTTACGTTCATAAATACTTGGGAGCGGTTCAAGAAATACTATCATTGTATGTCAAATTCCAATAACTGATCTTTTAAAGTACATCTTTGATTTATATAGAGAGCATATATATTATAAACTCTATATCATATTCTAGTCGTAACTCTATTTTAATAAAACGATGACATAACACGATATACTAATAATTTTAGATCTCATAACTTGTATAATTATCCAACTCGATCCAAATTCGAAATAATTCATCAAACGATAGAGTTAGGCTCTAAATTTCTAATACTTCTATTTTTTCCCTCTCACTTTTTCACTTTTATCTCGATTTATCCCAAAAATTGTCATGTCTCACGGTCAATCACTATCATCGGAGCATCAAATATGCCCCACCACCGTAATGACCATTACCTCCACGGCCAGCATAAAAGGACGAGGATCGTCCTTCACTATGCCCAGGGGCGGATGCACTAAGCCCCATAGGGGCTAAGTGCATCCCCTTATTTAGGAAAAAAGTGAAATTTAGTATAACATGTTAAAGAAAAATGGAAAAAAATTAAAAATTTTGCATCCCCATTATTTTTAAGAAAAGAAATTAAAATTTTAGACCCCATTTATAAATTTCTAAATCCGCCACTGACTACGCCATAAACGATATTGTATTTCTCACTATTTTGGAGACCTCAAGAGTGATATATCAAATTATTGTGCACCGAAAATAGAGATGCTATTAAATAGTAGTTAATTATTTGTGTCATTAAATTCTGGAGCTAACAAACTACTTATTTAATGATAAATAATTTGTTAAATTTTCAAAAGTTCAACTATATTTCAAGTTTATATAATTTTATATATTTGAGATTTATTTTATTTTCCATTTTACTTTTATGAATCGACCTCTTAATAATCATGTAATAAAAAAAATTAATGTTACAATAGACTTGACTTTAATACAAAATAATAATACTACCAATTCAATTTGAACTTAATAATTAAAAAATCGATAAATTATTTCTTGAGAATAAAAATAGAAGAATTAAATTTCACATGCACAACAAGTACAATGATCTAGAGCACATTTTTAATTTTTTAATTTTATATATTCAATTTTTTAATTTAATTTCATATGCAGTTAAATATATATAAATATAAATATATATTAAATTTAAAATCTATTAATGTCATAATCAATATGTGCATGTGAACTTCAAACTTTAATATTTAAGTGCCCAACCATTGCGCCTTTATAAGTCGGTTGGTGTGAATGGATGTATTATATTTTGCCCGCATATTTACTTCTGAAAAATAAATCAACTGGACTAGGAATTTACTTTTTAATCTCGGTGCTGACACACGACAAGAATATACTTTTTTAACTTCATTAAAAAGGGGAATCAAGCCAGTTAAAATCCAGCATTACTAAATAATAAAGCTACTTGCATATTTGGTTTGTAATTAAGGAAAAGGTTTAATATATAAAAAATAAGTGCATGCCTGGAAACATGTTTTGATGATTAAAGAATTTTTTTAATTAAAAAGTATGTGTCTAATGTTCTTTCCGTTACACTTTTAAGAATAATACGTTAAATTTTATCGTTAAAGGACACGTGTCATCCTCATATTTTTTTTTGAAAAATTATTTTAAAAAAGAAACTAAAACTAAAATTATTATTATTATTATTTTTAAAAAGTCCCTATGTTTTCATTCTTTTCACAAATCAACCCAAATACTCCAAAAACCCTAACCCAAATTTCGAAGAACTCCACCCATCGATGGCGAAACCCACTACCAACCATCCCTAACTCAAAGTCCAGTGAAGCCCATCCCCCATCTTCAACCGATTTGCAAGACATTGTTTCTAGTTTTGTTCGTGACTTATAGCGATTTGAGGCTGATTTTTTACCGATGATCGATTTAAGGGTGATGACAAGGGACTTGACAGCTGTGGAGCCCGATGATCGATGGGTATGCGGCCTACGACCGATTTAAAATGTGATTTTAATCATATTCCAGTTAGTATGCTAATGTCTATCTCATATAACTGTTAATTTTTAACGGAAAAAACAAGTTTGTAAGGTATGAATAGTCAACTTGATAATATTATAACTTTTAGTAGTTAGAGGACTCAACAAAATATTACCCTATAATCCAGGGATCATTTCGTAACTTTCAATAGTTATGAGACAAAAAAAATAACATCCTATAGT